TAGTCAACCGGGATGCGAACTCGGTCCTTTGTTGATTCTTAGAAATTAGAAAAACGTTGTTCCCCATTAGGTTTCGAATAAAATACCCCCGATTACTGCCCATACCAACTGAGCTACGAGGTCAAGCTAATATGCCTAAATTAATACCGGAGATTCCCGGGACACGCCCTTTTCAATTGCATTACACAATATCGCAATAAATATCGGTATCGGCACCGGAGATTAAATCACAGGAAAACAGCTCTCTCGGTTTTTACGAGCTTTCTCCCCGATCTTCAATATAGAGTGCTTCAACCAGATGTTGACGTGAGGGGCGGATTCTACCATTCTACTCTAAAGAGTATTATTATTGTAAAGTTCTGGAACTTCTACTGAAATAGGGACATGTTTGAACAAATCTCCCCCGCAATCGGAAGAACATATTTTCATCGTGCGTTTTAAATAAAGAATTCTATCAAAAGGTTTAAGCCAATCAAGGCAAATAATCAATAGGGCTTTATACCTATGTAGCACATATTTCAATTTCACAAAAGATCATTTCTACTAACATAATCTAAATAAGCGCCTTCTGAAAAACAAAAACAATTAATAATATCTGTATTAGGCCTACGACGTGAATGAAGACGAGCTAATCAAAAGCGGGTTTTAATCAATACTGTCCTCTCATTAATACAAGCAATTAATTAGAACTTTAACTGCATTTGCAATACTTGCAGATCCGATAGGTAGGCCTACCATGGAGGAATTAGTTTAGTCTAAACTAATTCCTCCATGGGCCTACCCAATCCTGGGGCTTGTTTATTAGTTTGCCCATTTCACATGGGTTTGGAAAGTTTGTTTACCTGCACCTTATAGAATTTTAAACTATGGAATTTCCCAAAGTTAGGTAATAATACTGTATAAAGAATTATACAGTTAAGAATAACTAAAAACTAACAAAAATATAATCAAAAAGAAGTTTTGTCGTCAAGCTAAATAAATAAATTGATTATCGTATTTCACGTTTTTAATACAGTATAATAAATCACCTGAGTATCAATAAAAAGTGGCGTTGATCCGTTGTGGTCTGGATTAACTGTTCCCTGGTCTGGATTGAGTAAAATTGAGCCCAGATAAAAATTACCACGTTCTGCCAGTAAATTATTCTGGAAAAACCCAGAACAAAATGCAATACACAATCTGTCTCAAAGGAATCGACCCCAGGGCAGTGGGCTATAAGCTTATCACCTTAAAAAATTACAGATCCAGCATTTCATGGTAATTCAATTTTACGTAGAAAATTACTATTAGAATACTAATCAGAAAACTGATAAACACTGAAAATTCACAGATTCTTTATTTGCTTTTTTAGAGATATGTGTCTGTGACGATTTTTTTTCTCGCCTTTGACTTTAAACATACGCATTAAATTGGTAAGTATAATAGGAAATAGACGAGTGGTTTCCATTACAGTATGTGTAATATAGTATTGGACAACTCGCTTCGTCTTTTCTTTTGTTCCTTCATTCACTTCTGCTCTTTTTCAATAATTTTATTTTTAATTTGGATTTTGAACTCTGGATTTACTAGAAAACAATATTTAAAATAAAAATAACAAAATCGGTCAGTTGTCCAACATTAATTTGTCAAGTAGGCTACTGAATGCAGAATGTTGGCTGAAAAATTCATACCGTTTTAACTGAATAAACAATAGTAATCAAATTGATTTTGCAACAGTAAACTGTTACAATCGATCCACCCAAATCTCTTGTTTATATATATATATATGATGTATATAACGATTAAACTTTTTTAATCTGACGCCAACAATTATAATATTGTATATGCACGGTATGACACTCAACTTGATTGCAAGACGTTGCAGGTTCGAGAACATTTCATTGAAATGCTTGACATGATGATAATAACATGTTATTCGCGCAATGTTAATGTTATTTATTTATTTATTTGTTAAGCCTACATAAACACACGCACATGCCAACATATCTTGTTTTCAATGTTCTTTAAGTACTTAATAAACAAAATTATGATATTACTCGCAATATCGTGAATCTTGACACATGGTGATATTTACAGTTGTCCTATCGTCCGAGACCACCTAAGTTACGTAAAGGACATCCATATTAAAAAGGAAAAGGCAATTGTAAATATCATATCGATAAAGAAATATTAATAACGAAGATATCTATTGGTTGTAAATATCACAGGAGCATTTGAAGGATAATTTTTTATCCCAACTTATTGGTACTTGTGTGTAGCTGTCACGATTTGAAAAAAAAAAATATGTTAGGGCAAGTTAAACTTGTTAAGGGCAAGTGCAAAATGACATGAACTTGCCCTGCTGACTACTAAGAAAAAAATCTTAATATGGGACCCTGAGTGACTGTACAATGAAAATACAGAGTAGACCGGATATATCTTGTACATACAATTTATTTTATTTTGGATTAATATTCATTTACAATACCTGTATAATATAAAACCGGCATGTGTTATATTTAAAAGTGTTCTATTTAATTAACTTCGGCAAGATCAGCTACGAAAAATGAAATCACTGGCAAAAGTCTAGACAATGCCAGGGGCCAGCAAAAGGGAAACAAACCACCGTTATCGACAGAATGTGCTACAGCTAACCTTCCCTCTCCTCCTCACCAAAAGAGAACTTCCCCCCTCCCCAACCCTCCTCACCGAAAAATACTATAAAATTATGAAACACTAGCAAAAAATATAACTTAGCTAACATTAACAATCTTAAAGTATATGTGTGTAGATTTAACATTTAAAAAAAAAAAATTTGTTTCATATTGACTGATAGACTTCAATAGTTAAATGAAAGACATATATTATTAAACATATTCAATTATTTATTCGTTATACTGGGAATCCTGTTCAGTAGATTATTGTACTCCCACAGGACCTGGTATAGACAACAGCATGCAATTACTAGAACACAAAAACACGTCCTTAATGGAACATACAGACATGTCCACAATGAAAGATATATATTTTTTTCTGAAACAAAGATGATATGCACAATCGTTGCTTTTTTGACTCCTGATTTACTTTATATTTGACTCCCTACCAGTGGTGGCTCCAGGAATTTGCCGACAAGGGGTCCGACATATAAGAAAGCTTGGTCAGAACCAAGGGGCCGACGAAACTCGATCAGGGTCCCGGAATAAAAATTACTCTAGGGTTCATGGGGAGAGTTTTTATGGCTTAGTATGGCCCGAAATTGTGCTTTTAGACCACAATATTATGGATTGGCAATCAAAATAATGTTTGGATGGGCAAATTAAGATTTTTGGTCTGACGACCTCGTCATGGCTTCGGACGACAGGCGGTAATTCACTCTTTCAATATGTTTAAAATGTTTTATATTTCCACATTTTACTTACCAGAAAAATCTTGTTTACAAAAACTTATATTGAGAACATTATTATTACTATCATTTGTTTTTGATTATAGAATATGATATAATAATGTATTATTTACTGTATTCAATCCTGTTATGGGTGACTTTTAAATGATTTTAAAATGTTAAAAAACACTGCAATATTGATTTAATATATTATTGTTACTACATAACCATACTGGTTATATTCTGCTGACACATATGCATTGATAAAATTTTTTATACATTTTACATTTTATTCTATACCAGGGAACAGTTCACTATGAGCACTCAAAATTTTTTCTCTATTTCAGTAGATAAGTGCTTAAAATCCATGGAAAAATCATAAATCTACTCCTACAATTATATAACATAATTGTGATTTTACCATAAAATTTTGGACATATTTTGAAATATTTTGGTGTTTTTCAATATAAGTACACTGTATATTACATAACATTGTGTACAAATCATTATACATTTAAAATACAACCGATGACACGTAATTCATCATAAGGTGATTCTATTTTTAGAACTGGGGCACTGCCCTCTTGTGACTAATAACACGAAACCGTGCAGCAGCTCATGCTATACCCTCTAACAATGGTTTGTAGAGTCTATCTGTTGGTCGTACAACTTTACTAGTAGGGGTATAAACAACCCCTCCAGGGCCCGCTAAAGATGTTGCTCCCATCAAATCCATATCAACTTCTCTCGCTGCTTGCCGTCCTTCGTTGATCGCATGAACAATCAGAGACTGCCCCCTACGGCAATCTACAAGTAAAGAAATAAGGATTCATTTTTGGGTACAGTACTTTGCTTTATGGTAATTTATTGAGATAAGCTAAATATTTGTGACCTTAATGGTGTCTCTTTATGAGACTTAGGAAGTACAGAAAGTAACTCTGTACAGCACTGAAGTACAGTTGATAAAATTTAATGGGAAAAATTAGAAAATATTAGCAAAATGCATTTAAAAAAAATATTATTTATGTTAATGAAACTGAAAAATTTAAGGCAACATTAAATTCCTTGCTCTGTCTTATGTAACCTTCAATTGAAATTTAGAATGTAAAAATATTTTTTCACTCCAACTGACAGACACATAAATAATACTGTTCCATTCTTTGCATATGTACTTAAAACCTCGTGTCTTATGTGACTTAATATTTTTAACCAATTATGATAATTCATAGATTTATATAGTCAGCTAGTCAGCATGTTATTGTTTTATTATCACTATTTCTATATTGCCAACTGAAGATTTTTTTTTTTTTTTTTGTATTTAAAGATAATAAAGTACAGGGAGGGGGCTGACACTTACCTCCAGCTGCATAAACCTTTGATACACTTGTTCTGTATTTGCCGGATGGTGTTTCTATGTTTGTCCTCATATCTTGGTTCAGATCTAACTCATTGATGACCCGATTCTCCGGTCCTAGGAAACCCATTGCGAGCAGGACAACATCGGCTTTGAAAGTCTTTTCTGAGCCTGCGCATTTTTCCATCGTGTATCGGCCGGTGGGTTCACGTTTCCATGTTACACGTACTGTTTTAATTCCACTCACGTTACCATTTCCATCATCAAGGAATTCCTTTGAAAATTAAAATACAAATTTAAGTAAAATCATTTGATTATGAATTAATAAAACAATTTCTTATCAATTAATGACTATTAATCACTAATTAACTTCTTTATCAAATTGATAGATTTTTAGTAATTAGTATGAGGTTTAGGGAGTGGAGTTGTTTTGGTTTCAAGAAAAATTATTGTTACGTGACAGGAATGAAACCCACTGGAAAAAACGTATGTTGCATTTGGGAATCAACCTCAAGACTTCCCAATTACAGTTCAGGTAATACATAACCTGACCTATTATCAGTGTTATACACAGTTAAAATTTCCCATTTGGACACCAGGGATTTGAAGGCAAGCATCCTTAAAGACCCATTCCTGGGAAAATTTAAGAAAAATCTGATTTTTATATGTTATGAGGGTTTATAAATATAATACGGAATTGACATTCCTAAATAGACATTCCTAAACATGATAAAAATGTAAAATAAGACTGAAATTTGAATTTTTGTGTTCCACACAAAAAATAAACGCGGATGAATTTTTTATGTTTGATTTTGTGATAGGTCTGCGAAGAAAAATAGTAGGCGCCTGAAATATCCTAGTAACAAAGAAGTCGTCGAGAAAATGGTAATCTCCTACGAGAAATAGTCTCTATTTCTCATTTTTTTTTTATCCTTTTGCATAACACTAAAATTTATGCGAATATTTTTTCATGGTTTATGAAATTGATCATCTTACTTCACTTAGAATGTTGAAATTACGAGGATCTTTGTTGTGTTTCACTTTCACTTCTTCGTGAGCGTAGTCCACTTTGAAAACACGTGGCCAAGTTGGCCATGGGTTGTTCGGCGCTCTCGTCGATGGGGGCTGGTCTAAAATCTCAAAGGTAGTAATGGATTTGGCATCCTGAAAAGAAAGCAAATTTAATGCAATATTTATGTTATAGTATTTTTAATGCAACAAAATAAATCATATACTGTATACTGTAAACCACAGGATAGTAGCTTTGGTATGGTAAAATACCCCCACTGGTGATATTTGATAATTAAATATGTTAATAAATTTGTTTTGAAAACGTATCTTCCCATTGGGAATCAACCCCAAGACTTTATGATTACATTTCCGGTACTCTACCAATTGCGATATTGGTAGAGTAGATCTGGATTTCCCCATTTAAGAAGCATGCTGTCTCAAAGTATTGCGTAATATGCACTAGTGGAGGTGTTTCTTCATACCAAAGCTACTATCTTGTGGGTTACTGAATTTTCAATGTATATTACGCAATACCTTGAGAAATATCATGTCTCAATGGATGGGTGCATAACTCGTAGCTCAGATGGAAAAGTATAAAAGGTAAAAGATAAAGGTAGGAGAATAACGCATAACTTGCAGCGTCATTGTGCTGAATTGTGTATGGGCGTGGTCCGTGATTACATAGCAGCAGCAAAGAGGCGCTTCTTGGTAGGTACATGTTCACATCATTCCACAACGACAGGGGCTGAAATGAACCATAACATCGGCGTAACCCCCAACTCTTCCGAAATATGCAATGGGTTCTTTAAAGTGCACATGAGCCAGATGTATACACTGAGCCTCCATTTTAAGTCCTTATCCGAGAAGACTTGGTTCTACCAACCGAACAATGGGCGAGGAGCGGCTGGAACTAGCGACGATGTTAAGGCTGTAGCTAGCGGCGCCCCTTCCTTACCGCTTGGCCACTCGACTCACTGTATCTGAACAGTAATCCAGAATAACCTACCAATCTTAGAGATGTTCCAATGCAGTCCACTCCAGTATCTCCTCCTCCAATCACAATAACATCTTTGTCCTTGGCGTCCACATATTCAATATTGTTTCCCATCTGTTTCTTCTGCCAGCTTTCAAGGAAAGTCATGGCTGTATGGATGCCCTCTAGGTGGCGCCCTATAAAATATTAAAACAAGAATGTACACAAATATACTAATTGCTATGATGGGATTTTGTATATACAGTATGTAAATTGTACAAAATGTATTAATTAAATTGTATATATTGTTAAATTGCAAAATAATATTCATTTCAGTATTGTAATTTAAATTAGAAAAGGATGCAATGTCTAAACCAATAATCCACTGTAGCTTTTCTATCACTTTTCATGATATTTTAAAATTTGAAATAAACCTTTGATGGGCAAATCTCTTGGTCTTGTTGAGCCGATACAGAGCAGTACTGCATCATTTTCTTCTATTAGCTTCAGGCTGGAGATGTCTTCACCAATGGTTGTGTTGGTCTTGAACACCACCCCCTCTGCTGCCATTAAATCCACCCTCCTCTGTACAACCTGAAACAATAACAATAAAGTATGTAAAGATCCATGAAACAATAACAATAAAGTATGTAAAGATACATATACTTCAGTTATTCTACTTTTACAGTATTCAAAATTTTCACAAATTATATAAAAACAAAGTACAGTATTCCGTAAAATTTCTAATAATAACCCTGGGTTACTATTCTTTGATTGTTTTTAGGGCGAGTTACTATTAGAGTATGGGTTACTATTAAAGCAGTGGGTTACGATTACTAAGCTTAATGTAGGGACTTGAAAATAGTAAACCCCAACCCACCCCCAGGTTTTCGCATCAGAACTTCATAGAATTCAATAATATTGGTCAATGAACTATCAAAAGGTATACTGAAATATCCTTATTTTGAATTAAAAACTGCATTAAGGAAAATTACCAAGGAGTAAATTTAAGAAATGATCATCCATGATCACATGCAGACGGCCCATTGTAAGGAATAAATTGTGTTAAAGCAGCAAAATGTTGATGTATTTTCTTATAGTTTTGGTGACTACATGGGTTATTATTATATAAGTGGGTTTGATTATCATTTTAGATTAACTTCTATGGTGGGTTACTATTAGAGAAAGGGTTACTAATAGAGTAATGGGTTATTATTAGAAATTTACTGTAAGTAGAATTACAATTTAAGCCATTAGTAATATTTGTCATACATGCTCTGGTCAGTTGAAAATATCTAAGGGTGGGGTGTAAGAAGAGGGAGGTGTCCTCGAGGTGCCAACTTCCACTAAAATTCATCTCTTATCACCTCATTCACTCAGCTAGTGCCCCTTAATTTACCATCACACCCCAACCCCATCATTCCCCATCTTATGTCAATCCTGTACTCCTGGGATATGCACTGGCTCTGTAGGCATTTTGTACAGGAATTTGCCTCCATTGTTACATACTAACCCCAGTAATGTGGAAGAGAAAAAAAATTATATTTAACATTAACCTTTTTGCTGAGCTTCATCGTTGGTATACCATACATCAACAGACCACCGATACGGTCATTACGTTCATAGACGGTCACAAGATGCCCTGCTTTGTTGAGCTGTGCCGCTGCTGCTAGACCAGAAGGTCCGCTACCTACAACAGCCACCTTTTTGCCGGTACGGTAGAGTGGTGGTTGCGGAACCATCCATCCCTGCTCGAATGCATGGTCGATGATAGAGCATTCAATGCTTTTGATGGTCACAGCTGGCGAATGAATGGACAACACGCAAGCCCCCTAGAAATTATGAGTTAGAAAAAAGTTAGGCTATCATTTCATTCGGGACACTCAATACTCTATACTCAAGTCTCTTTTGAGATATCTACCACAATCTATTGGCTTTCATTATTATATAAATGTAATTATTATGGTATAAATGTTTCCATCACACCTTGAAATATCAATACAACACCTGTCATCCTTTAATTGTTATAAAACAACAAAATAAATGTTGAAATATATAGTTCAAATTACCTCACAAGGCGCTGGACATGCACGTCCAGTGAATTCTGGAAAATTGTTTGTCAGCAACAGCTTGTTGAGGGCGTCTTTCCATTGACCTTTGAAGACAAGTTCATTCCAAGATGGGATGATATTACCAAGAGGGCAGCCTGTATGTGACTGGCAGAATGGGACACCACAATCCATGCATCTGTTTGGGCAAAAAATACAAACGTTTTTCTGTAAATTTAGATATCACTTTGAAAGACTAAATTGGGGGATGATATCAGAAAAAAACTAAAATGGAGCAGGAATAATCAAGGTACGGTAGTCTATGTCAAGGCTGATTATGTCAACAAGTCTAGTTTTCCGGGGTCCCAAGTCGGAAGGAATACCTTCCAAGAGATCTGGTTAAATGAGCTTTCTTAACATATTCAATTTTATTTTCCTGCATATGGTGATACCCATCAGCACTGTCTTCTGTGAAACAATTGATAACAAAGTAGTAAATATATGCAAATATTATGAATTTTCAAGAGACTGGTTATTTTCCGGGAGATTCTTGTTGTTGCAGGAGTGCAGGAGGCCATCCCAATTTTCCAGGACACTTCCGTGATTTCGAGTATGCTTGGGACCCCCTGAGACTTTTATACTCACCTTGCAGCCTGCATTTTGATGCCTTTTTTTACAGACTTGTGACTGTATATCTCATTCCAGTCACGAAGTCTCTGCTCTGCACTGCGGTAACTTAACTTTGTTCTCTTATACTTCACAAACCCTCTGGAAAATTAAGCAAAAAAAAAAAAAAAACCTTTAATGTCCAATATTAATTTGTTTTCATAAGCTTTCATAAAACAATAATTGGAATTCATGCTTTTCCATTTCTAAACATATTAAAGTGCCATGGAGTATCTAAGAGTCTTGAAATGTGGGGGGGCTGATTTGGGGGCATGATGGTGAAGTGGTGGGGCTCGATGATTAGGTAAGAGAAACCTAGCTTGCAAAATGAGGTGACCTGAGGTGAACTAATTGAGCAAGATTTTTGGTAGGGACAACTAGCAACTGGGGGCGCGAATATTTTTTGGTGGAGCCTGCACCTCTCTTCACCCCTAGATACGCCATTGCAAAGTGCTTCAAATTAAGTGACAAAGTTCACTTGTGCTAACTGCTTTAAATATCTGCCTCATACAAGTAGGCCTACTATAATATTCAATACTTTTTAAAATTTCAAACTAAAAGCAAACCTACTTCTTTTTGTCAAGAAGTCCCTCGATTATCTTTGATTCTTTATCGGCATCTGGTATTGCCTCTTCAATATCCAAAACATTGGAATATTCTTTCCTATGTGGAATGACTTCATTGAGGGCAACGACACCATTAGGTACATCATGGGAAAGCTTATTGATTTTGTTAAGCTCCAGTTCTTTCTGCTTCTGTTCATTCAATGCTCGTCTGTACTCGTTAGGAAACACCTACGTATCAAGAATGTAAAAGTTTCTACTTAGAGCCATGGCATACTATTGTATAACTTCGAATACATCCTGGTCCTTTGTAAAATAATATCAACAATAATTATAATTACAACTTTAATTAGAAACATATCAGCTTTGACAAATATCTTGTTATTACTAACCTTCACAAATGACTTTAGAGCATTTTCCCAATTGTTTAGTATTTCACTAGCAACTTTGCTTCCTGTCTGTTCAGCAAACGCCTTTAATTGTTTGTGGAGGAATGAAATATCAACGCTCTTAACAATTGGCTCAAGTGCTACTGAATCCTTATTGCACATGTTGTGGAAAGATTCAACTCTAAAAAAAAAACAAAGAAAAAAAAAAATGAAAACAAATATATTATGTATTGTAATTAATTATTATTGTTACTACTGATTGTGGTTGCTGTTGCTGAGAATGTATTTGACAAATAACAACATAATTCAACTGATATTATTAGGGACTTACTTGTCATATACATATGCTATCCCACCAGACATCCCAGCAGCAAAGTTCCTACCAGTTTGGCCAAGGATTATGGCCCTACCACCTGTCATATACTCACAACCATGGTCACCTACTCCCTGTCAAAAACAACCAAACAAATTTCACTATAATTATAGTAAAAATCAACTGGTTTATTATTCTTGATTATAAAGTTGTTATATAATTATTGAATTTCAATCAATGGAAACTCCTTTCATCCTAGCTGAGCAACTAAATATTTTTGGCTTGGATCCTAGAGACTGTAGTGATCATTACCTCACAAATAGCTGTAGCTCCTGAGTTTCTGACACAAAATCGTTCAGCTGCGACTCCACGGAAATAAGCTGTGCCACTTGTGGCTCCATACAAACAAACATTTCCTACGAGGATGTTGTCTTCCGACTTGAAATCTGGGCTCATGTCTTTTGGCGGGTAGATAGTTATGTGGCCACCAGACAAACCCTGAAAATATAATGCGAGATATTTTATCTAAAAGTATATGTGACATTTTAAAATCATTGATAGCTTTGCAGTCAGTATACACCCTTTCCATATCATTAATTTTTTCTTTCTTTATATTGCTGGCAATTTAAGTAATTTTATACTGTTTTCTGTAGAGTTACATAAAAACATTAAGGGGGGGGGGGGGGAACCACTCAGAAAGTCTATATTAAAATACTGTAGTTATAAATTAATATAATTTTGGAATGAGAATAATGACTGCCATAGAATGTTGGATTGCACAATGTTGCACAGTTTTAAAATTATAACATTTAGTTTGCTTTGAGATGATTTTTAATGGAAAGCACTATACAAAGTTCATTAACATTACCATATCTGAAAATATTATTCGTAATGATTATCAATTACACATGCAAGGTGAAAAGATCAACCCTGACTTACTTTTCCAACATAGTCATTCGCATCTCCTTCCAACTCAACATTGACACCCGCTGCAAGAAATGCGCAAAAGCTCTGACCTGCTTGACCCTTCAACTTCAAGTCAATGGAATTATCAGGTAAACCCTTTTCACCATACTTCCTGGTAATCAAAATCAAACAATTATGATACAAAAAAATATTACCAGCTCTTATTTTCAGGGGATATTATCAACAATCTTCCTTTAACATGCATAAACCTCTTGTTGAGCATACAGGGGAAATTAATCCCTTCCCCTTCTTTCTGATAAGTTTACAGGCTTCCATGAAATGCACATGAGTCTTTATGCATATGTGACCAATGGCTAAAAAATAAACATCTCTCACAAAAAAAAAAACCATGCACTAGGAAAACTTGCAGCTAACACATAGGCAGCAAAGATGAATGAACTTTTCTGGAGTGTCAATCAAACTAAACAACTGACCAATCAGAACAGTGCCAGGAATATGGGCGTGTAACACAAACACATGTGTTGTCCCACAGATGCACATGTTTCCATATGTTTTTACACAGTAGTTTTGTAGGACCTTAGCAATAATATCCAAGGGGCGGGACTTAGTGCAAATGTCCATTGAGTCCGGAGCCCAAGGGGCGGGGCTTAACGGAAATGTCCATTGAGTCAGGAGCCCATCATCTTGTTCTTAGTTCAGCAGACACACAGTGGCTACCACCAGTTTGGCCAACCAAGCTAAGCTGCCTTTTATATTTCCATAGTATATAGCTATGCATTGTGTTACAGGCACTTCCATGTGGAAAGGGTCAGAATGTTTACATTTTCAACATGCATGATAGTGGCTCATGAATACATTATTAGGTCTATAACAGGAAGACTATTAGTTTAGCTTTATATTACTATTATTATTATATAATTTCTGTGTAAAACACATAGGGGCAATGTGCAATATGCGCTATATAACATTGTTATTTAATGAGAAACATAATGATGTTTACCCACCAACACCTCTAAGGTTATACTATAGAGATACAGGTTTAACATACTTGGAGATAAAATAGCTTAGGGTTGTTGCAAAGGTCCTGTCTTGGTTGGTGATAGATAACGACATCTCCAGATGATTTGCCTTGCCATCTAGCACATCTTGGGCTGCTTTGATTACCTCATTATCCTAAAGTAACAAAGTAAAACAAAATTGCATTATGGGAGAAATCCTGGGTACATATGTGTATGTCATCGTTCATATAATGATGATGGTTGGAGTACATAATAATTAACTCACAATACATATTGCATAATGGATTTTGGTTTTTTTTTTTATTTTTAAAGATTGAAAGTGCTCTACAAACATCAGATTCATGCACTACCTTACCTAAGATAATTAAATTTAACACAATACAGCTAGCAGATAGTTCCCAACAGATATTTTATGCTGCTGCTTTAGAACTGATAGTAGTATATTGTAGTTGTTACCAGTGTACCAGCTGAAACACCATCCATTCACTGTAGGAACTTACCAATCTTTCTTTCAATTTGAACTCCTGCGCAACACACCCACCAAGAATAGACACTCCTGGGCGCATGTCATTAGCATTTTTCAGAATGGCATCAAAATTCAAAAGTTTAGCCTTCGAGTTGATTGGATCAGCAGAAACCCTCAGCATGTCTGTTCGACCAATCATATCTTGGAACGAATGGAAGCCCATCTTAGCCATATATTGCCGAATGTCCTCAGCAACCATAAACAGATAGTTGATGACGTGTTCTGGGGCTCCTTTAAACTTCTTTCGCAACTCAGGATCCTACAAGAAAATACAATGATCGCATTGGTTAATAAATTTTGCTATCTTGCGCAACATAATAAAATATACTTTATAATTGTTTAATGCTTTCACTTTTTAAAATGATTTCAACCTTATTAGATGCTACTGGATAAAACATACCTGCGTTGCTACGCCAACAGGGCATGTGTTTAGATGACATTTCCGCATCATTGTACAACCAAGAGCAATGAGAGGAGCGGTGGAAAATGCAAACTCGTCGGCACCAAGAAGAGCGCCAATTACGACATCACGACCTGGAAAAAGGCAAAGTTTGTCAGGATTTAAATTATTGTGAGGCATAAGATCAGTTTGAGTAATTATTGACAACAAATTCTATTAAGAAAATTATTCAAATATATGAAGAAAAGTATATAAATTCTTCACATTAATTATTACTATGTCAGTTAAATGTCTTCATGAAATTGTACACAATTGTACATTTTTTATGTATTTTAGCATATGTTACTGAAATTTTGAATTCATATAATGATGTATTCCTTTGTAATTGTTGTCCCAGACCCTGGTATTAGAAGGCAATCATCCTAATATCAAATAACCTTAAGTGACAAACTAAATTTCACTGAAAATGGAACATTTGATTGATATGCTGACAGCACTTAGCATATATCAAATAGCTCCTACATCCTTGGCCTAACTTGCCTGTTCTTAGCTGACCATCAGTCTGTACGACCACCCTGGAGCGAAGGTTATTCAATACAAGTGTCTGGTGGGTTTCAGCTAGACCTAGCTCCCACGGTAAGCCAGCATGCTTAATCCCAGTCCATGTGCTTGCCCCAGTGCCTCCATCATGACCAGAGATTGTGATATGCTCGGCCTTACCCTAGAATAAAAGGCATAAAGTCAGAAAATAATTGTGAATCAAAATTTTATGAATTTAAAAACAAATTTTAAAGATACAGTTGTAATTCATGATTCTACCCCCATCTCCACATTTTGTATAAAATGAACAGTTCTGCTACATACAAGGACAGTTAAGGGAGTAGTCTAATTAGATACAATAGAGGAATCCTGATGTCTTCAGATAATATGTAGTCCTACAGATGGGTGTACATGAACTCATTTAGCTTGAACATGAGAGAGTAATGCCATGCATAAATGCAAAATGCTGACCACATTAAACAACAAAGTATGTGTATTGTTAAAGATCACATGTGTATGCCTGCCAGTAATTTATGTACAATGTAAATATATGAATTAAAAAAAATATGTATTCCACAACAAATTTAAGACAAACCTTGGCAACACCAGCAGCGACGATTCCAACACCAACTTCAGACACAAGCTTAACACTGATCCTGGCATCAGGGTTTGAACATTTGAGATCATAGATCACCTGAGCCAGGTCCTCAATGGAGTAGATGTCATGGTGGGGAGGGGGTGAGATTAGTCCTACCCCAGGGACTGAGTGACGAGTTTTGGCAATATCTTCAGTCACCTGTAAAATAAAGAACACAGAATATGACATGAAGAGGGTCTTTATGTGTGGAAAAGCTTGTTTCAAGGCAACTTTTTGCATCTGTAGAATGCTGTCCATTTTTGAATGTAAAACAATAAAATAATTGGTGTTATATTCAAATACCTTGGTACGTATGTATGCCTTGTATGTGTGTATGAACTGTATGCATAATGTACATGAATAGTAATTCCAAATGAAAGCTGTCCTATGTATATAGTTATTCAGCAAAGAAGCTTTTTGATTGAATTTATTTTGGTATTTAGAGTTGAAATAAAGTGTACATAAAAATTATCAAACTGGATACTGTACCTTATAAGAAGGTAGCTCACCGCCTTCGCCGGGCTTAGCCCCCTGCGCCATCTTAATCTGGAGGTCATCCGAGTTTGCAAGGTAAGCACTGGTCACCCCAAACCGCCCCGATGCTATCTGCTTAATTGCTGATCTGATTTCCTTATCCTTGTACCGGTTCTCAGTCTCTCCTCCTTCTCCGGTATTACTCTTCCCACCAATTCTAAAATTTTAGATTAAAATAATTTGATGAAAAATGAAGATATTCATAATATTATCATAATAGCCAAGTTTTCACTATGCTGTACAGGAAAGTCATGTCTGCACAAACTTTTGATGAGTAACATAACACACACAGGCGCATCACCATGAGGGTATCATATGACACCAAGTCGAAGGGAAAGGTTCCTATTGTTAATAGGAACCAAAAATCCAAAGCATCACATCTGTTTAATAATTGACTTATTATTTCTATATTCAATAACAATGTTTCTCATTAATATTATTAAATTGAATGATTTTTGTAATAATAATCGCAGATTAAATAAACATATTAATTAAAAACACTCATTGGTGGGAAACTATGCTATCGACACAATCTCGCATAGTGAAAGATAAAAAAATTGCCTATTTGTTATATGCACCACCTGTGTTAGATAATTCCATTATTTCTGCGAGGTAAATCCTGAAAAAGAAAACTGGCATAAATATCAGATCATTCATATTAGTATTCACAAAATTGACTAACCTATTCATAGCAACAGCTAGTGCTTGGTGAGTTTCCAGCGACAGACTTCCAAAACTCATGGCTCCTGTAGCAAATCTCTTCACAATACTCGATGCTTCTTCTACTAATGAAATATCCAACGGTTCGTCTGCTTCTACAATGTCTAGCTGGCCTCGCAGTGTACATGCTTTAATCTGTAATGATAGTTATATTAAATAAGCCACTTTATAGTTGCAAGTGCTCGTCTAATGTCAAAGGTCAATGCAATTATTTAGCATGCCACTTACTGATTCCTGCTGAGATTCTACAAACTTGTCGTAAGCTGTTTGGTTTTTATTTCTTACAGCATCCTGAAGATTAGCAATACTAACAGGATCATTTATATGCTTCTCACCACCTTGGCGCCAATGGTAGATTCCAGGGTCAAGGGTAGTACCGCCATCACATTCCCTATCGGAGTAGGCTATTGCATGCCTCTGGAGTGTCTGAAAATTAAAATAACATTTCATAAAATAAGAACAAATAATTCTTAGCTTAGCATAATAAGATGACTTATGTGGTCAAATTTTCTGTGCAGTTGATAAAAATTACTACAAAACAAATCAATTAATCAATACATTTTATACCTCTTCAGCTAAAATATCAAATGTTACACCTCCAATTCTTGAAGCAGATCCAGTAAAACACTTGTCGATGACATCCTGACCAAGACCGACTGCCTCAAAGATTTGGGCTCCCTGGAAAGAAGAAAAGCAGTTGCATATTTTGGTAACAATCTAGATACAGCTCCACCTACAATGAGACTCATTTTCATAATATGCAATAGTGCAATAGAGTAAGTACCTTGTAACTCTGAAGTGTTGAAATACCCATCTTTGCCATCACTTTTCGGATTCCGTAAACAGTAGCGGCAGAAAGCTGTTTGTAGATTTGCTCATCTGCGGGAGCAGGATTGAGTAGACCCTCGTTTCTCAGCATCATGACACCCTCGTAGAGCAGGTATGGACATATGGCATCTGCCCCGTAACCTAACAGCAAACACATATGATGGATTTCACGTGTTTCACCTGATTCAATGATAATACCAACTTTCATACGTTGTCTGGTCTTGATTAGGTGATGATGTACAGCCCCTAGAGCCAACATAGAACTAAAAAAAAAATTTAGTTTTGTTAGATGTATTTTTGAAAGAATAACTTGGGTACAAGTAGAATAAACAGCAAAGAATTTGAACCCCGGATTTCCTGCCAATATAACAACCGTTGTTCTAACCACCTCAAACCACCTCTGATGGTCAATAAATAGTTAGTTCTTGGAAGAATAAGCCTTCAGATGGCAAGTGCTTACCAAGCTCCCTACATTACCTGACATGAACTCTGTCTCTACCAGCTTTTCTATCAGACAACACCAGCAAGGGGTACCCATCATCTACGGCCTCTGAAGCATTGTTACAGATTCGATCAAGGGCTGGCACTAATCCATCACAGCCATCAGCCACAGGATATGTTATGTCAATAGTCTTGGTCTAAAGTACATAAAAAAAATCATATATAAGTGGAGCACCTTTAAAACTAGGGAGGAAAAAAACTTTTGTTACAAGTCTAAAGAAAATTTAACATTAAGGAAAATAAATTACAGATCCTGGTGTTAACAATGTCAATGAGAAGTCATTGTACTGCTGATGTAGAAACATTTACAGTTTTCAATCTTCAATGCAACAATATTTCAACATAATACTTTATCAAATTGTGTAATCCTATTTTCCATCAGTAAGAACTAATCCACCTCACTTTCATCAACTTTCACTTTCTATTTTTATGGCTTTTAAAGTTTTTAAAGTTACAATTCTATTATTTGACATGTTAGTAACAATAGATTATATGGTAAACACAATACCACATCACATTAATATTAAAGTAAAAGAATGTTAACATCTATATACCTTCCATCCTTTATGTGTCGTTGATTTGAGGACGTGGAGGTCTTGGAGAGAGATTATTGGCATTTCAAGGTACAGCCTTCTACATTGCAGGGAACAAGGCTCTAGGATGTTAGCCTCTGGTCCAATTGCACAAGCCTAAGTTGGAGAAAAAAGGAACTTTATGAGAAATTGCCATGCGATGGCTTTCTCCACAGAGTATACATTATTCCTGGTCTATACTATGTTTTTCTCCTAGGGTTACACAAATCAGCAGTAATGTTGGTAGTTTATGGGCACAGACTACATCAACGATCGTAAGCCGACAGGATTCCAGGAAGACATCAACGCAACAAGGCATGCACGATAAATCATGTTCACTGATGATCTGGTTAGAGTGCCATCGACAATCAGCGGACAGCACTGTCTCATCTAGTGCTTGCATGAGTGGGGATAAATTTGGCCAACCATCTGCCAAAGCAGTGTAGGCCCAGCTTAAGAAACCTGGATTAACCAACTATTGCCATTGTTTGTATTGATACCCCTCAAATAAAATAGATGCCCACCCAAAGGCACCACAGTCGTTGACTCCTGTGAAACTGTCTTCCAGGAAATTACAGTAAGCTAATAGTAGACAGAATTTCTTGGGATTTTTGAGAATACATTGTGTAATTAAGAATATTGAGTACTTTTTGTGTTTTTAACAACTTACCAGTGACATGACAATAGACTCTCTAATTGGATCGATGGGTGGATTGGTGACCTGGGCAAAGAGTTGCTTGAAATATTCAAACACCAGAGGGTTGCGTTGAGACAGACAAGCAAGGGGAGCATCATTCCCCATTGAGCCTAGCGGTTCTTTTCTGAAAGTATATAAAAATATAATATTTATCATCATTAATCATTATCCTTATTATTTTTTATTTTTTTAAATCTTAATTTATTTTTATAATTTTATTTATACATATTTTTCTTTTATTATTTTAATTCCAACAATATCTAAATTTCAATCCAATGAGAATGTTTATCGTTCATATATTTTCATATCAACTATTAATAATGATATTACATTACTAACAATACAATGAAATATTACATAATAGTGATGATGTTTATGAGGATGATGATGGCGATGTTAATGATGATGATGATGGGGATGAAGATGATAATAACGGTGGCGATTGTGATAATGGTGACTGTAATGATGACGACCACAATGATGATGTTGAAGATGAGATGCTGATGATAATGATGATGGTGATGATGATGATAATAACGGTGGTGATGTTGATAATGACAACCATGATGATGATGTTGAAGATGAGATGGTAATATTAATGATGATGAGGATGATAATGTTAATGTTGCTAATAATGATGAAAATGATGATAATATATCGGAAAGAATGCATCTATTGTAATTCCTTGTTGCTAGTAAAACAAAATGGTAGTGAATTATAAAAACTGTTGCACTACTACAGTACTTGTTTCACATACTTGTTTGTAAACATTGGGACCACTAGCATGTGAATCTGCTCGACAGTGTAACCAAACAGAGGAAGACGCAGGTCGGTGGTAACAGATCCCGTCAACAGACTTGAATTTTTCTCAAACTTAACGCTATTGACTTTATATAGGTCCTCCATAGTGATCACCTGCAGAATATAAAGTAAATATTATTATCATATTCCTTATTATTTTAAAGAGTACAAAGAAATTGCTGTAATGAAATTTAGGATAAATTTCAGATTCTAGTCTTCACCTGAGTATAAGCCCAGGGATGCTTTATAAACAAAAATATATCACTCAGGGAATACAAAAAAAATATAGTGTATATTTCCTATATTTTTTGTTTTTATATAACGGTGAGTGACTCATCTCTTTACAGGATGGAAGTGATGCTTTAAGTCTTAAGCAAGCCTTCTTTATACTATGTTTAGTAAACCTGCCACCCACATCTAATGACTATAAATTAATCAATCAATTTTATTTTTGATCTGTTAGCTTTTACTTGTTACAAAAAAAATTTAGCTTTGCAGGATTTGAAACAAAGACCCTGGATAAATGAGGTGAGCATGCAGTGACCACTTGGCTACAGCACCACTTAAAAAACTAACCTCTTTTTGCAGCCATGACCCAACTGGTCTTGATTCAGATATGGTCTTCTTAAGCTCTTCATCTTGAGTAAATTCTGCCAAGCACGTATCAACTAATAGCATACGACCAGGTTTTAATCGACCCTAAACAGGGAAAAAATATGATTATAACTTGATAAGATTCAAACTGTGTTTGATTGTTTTATTTTTAAAAAACCCAAATGCATGGTAACATTTAACAACAAAACAAAGGAAATATAATGTATAAAACAAAGGAAATACAATATATGAAGCAGAGAGGAATAAAGAAAATGAAGCAAATAAACTTTATTACCTTTTGGGAAACCTCTTCACTTGGAATATCAATGACACCAATCTCACTACTCATATACATAACACCAGACTTGGTAAGGTAATAACGGGATGGACGTAGGCCATTACGATCCAAGATGGCACCCACATAACGTCCGTCAGAGAAGGTGAACAACGCTGAAAAATGATGCATCACTCTCAAAATTATGTGGGAAAGGTAATTTGCAATTAACCAGACTTTATATCACTATACATGGCAAGTCGGATGGTCGAGCGGTTAGTGCAGGGCGCAGCAACTTACAGCCATAATACAGCCATACAGCCATAGGCGGCACGCTCGCCTATGTTTTTTGGTGATGGAACAAGTCTTCTCGTATAAGGACTATAAACCGTAGGCTCAGTGTACACAATTTGGCTTGTGTGATCTTAAAAGAACCCAGTACATCTTTCAAGACGAGTAGGGGGGTTACCCCAGTGAACTGGTCCATAAATCCGCTGTTGTGGACATATGAAAGTAGCTGGTACTGTTTTACCGGGTAGCTTTGACATGAAGAGACCCTTAAGGGAGAAGAAAATCACTGAAATGAATTATAGTCCACAGTGCTTTGTATCCTCTGGAAAATGCACTACATCAAATACCATTATACATGTACATCACTATCACCGTCGTTGCCATCATCATCATCGTCATTGCCATCATCATCACCATTATAATCAACAACCTCATTAACGGTTTTCTGATCCTAACACTTGAGGTAAGTTCGCCCACTAACTGAAAGGAGGATATATCCTTTAGGACAAGGTGGTGCGCAACCACCAAACTCTGGTAACTTCTTGAGCTTAGCAAAACTTACAATAGGCTGTGGAAAATTTTGAATCTATAATCTAAATTGACATGATAATAATAAAACTGCATGTATTTTGATAATACTTTATTAAGGTTTATTCACCTGGGCCATCCCAGGGTTCCATAGAGAACGAAGCCCAACGATAGAAATCCTTTTTATGCTTAGGCATCAATTCATCTTGCTGCCAGGCTTCAGGTACCATGGTCATTACAGCCTAAAAATATATATAAAAAAAATACATAAACACATTAAAAAAAAATTGTATTCATTTTGAAAGTTATCAAGCAAAAACATTAATGGATAAAAACACAGAAAACTTTAAAAAGCAACTTATTTCCACTGTGGTCCCCAAATAAGAATACTGAAAAAACAGATTAATAATAAAACTATAAAAATGGAAACAATATAATTAATACACTTAAATAATACGCAAATGCAATTTTCTACAAAACGTCATCAAATTAAACCATATTATTAAGTTAAGAGTTTATTGGATGTATATATGCAATGTGCGTTTTCAACATGATAAGGCAATTTATTCCATTCATCAATAGTGGTACTATGTGTACATTCTAGAAGTAGGAAATTTAGTATCATAGTTATAAAGTTGGTTCTTAAGCTGCAAACTCTAGTAGAAACAGGTAGCCAATTTAGTTTTTATATATTCAATGTAACCAATGTGAGTGGACCTAGTCCTAGTACAAATCTAATAACCTTATTTTTAGGATGTTTGGAATTTATTTTCATCAGTTCAGAAACCTTTCAACATTTGTATCTATTTTTTCCAATTAAGATAAGATAATACACTCTTTATTGGTCTATTCACATATAAAAATACATAAACAGAAACGTTCATTGAATCTGGCATAAACAATTAGAAAATAAAATACATAAACAGAAACGTTCATTGAATCTGGCATAAACAATTAGAAAATATAACACTAAACAAACATCAAATTACAATATGCAAATAGATAAAATAATTAAAAAATACACATTAGGCTTATAATTGAAACTACAAAAAACAAAGAAATGAAATTCAATGTTGATATTAACAAAATTATTATTATCAGCAATTTCATAAATGAAAAACAAATGGCAGTTTAATAATAGGCACACTTTCCATACATACAAACATAAATACATAATGATGAAAAAGTTTATTAATACTTCATAATAACCAACAAAATGTCATGATTTTGTGTTGTCCAAATTTTAAAAAAATAATATCGAAATTGATTGCAGCCCACTCCTTTCCAATACACTTTGTATATGTATGATTAATAAAAATAAAATGAAAATATTTAGAGACCTCAGGAAGTGTTCGGCACCCAGCCATAATGAGAAACTCCAGTACGTTGTCAAACTGGCCAGAATCCGGCAAGCCATCCTCAACCACAGGGTACAGCGCTTTTAGATCATCGCCAAACAGGGAACTGCTCATTACGCCCTCTCGGGCCTTCATGAGGTTCACATTACCTCGTAGGGTGTTGATCTCACCATTGTGGGCTAGATATCTGAAAAATCATAGTTAATTATCAATTGATATACATGACAGCTATATAGATGGAAGGAGAAGAAAGGTTGAGTTGAGTTTTGATTTTCTGCTGAAAATGTATGTTTCCTAGGGATATTTTCCTACGGATTCTGTTGAGAAACAATGAACTATATATCAGGAATGAATTAAACATTTCTCATCAATTTCGTATAACAGGTCCTACCTGTGTGGGTGAGCTCGGCTCCAACTTGGGAAAGTATTAGTCGAGTAGCGGTTGTGGACGAGGGCAAAATGTGTCACAAAATCTTTGTTGGACAAATCTTTAAAGTATTTAAATAGCTGAGATGTGGTCAGTTGGCCCTAGAGAAGCAATAATTCAAATGTTATCTAAAATGTAATAATAACCTTGATACTAAGAAATCCTTTTTAATTTCCACACCAATTTCAAAAATTACATCTAAAATTGAAAATATATTTCATATATTGAGTATTGCAATGGTGGATTAAAACAAGTAGTGGTAGTTGGGAATAATAAGTATTTCATTTTAAGACTTGTTTCATTAAAATCGCTAATACTGTCGCTACAGTGATTTCAGTGCAATCATTGTACTCTGCGTAAAGGGAGCAGTCCCCGTTTCAATTTGGGAAAGGTTCCCAATTCAACCAACCAATCAGCATTACCTAAAGCTGAAATACCTCAATTTTCAAATTTATTTGATATTCAATTGAATTAAATAAATATTCCTAATGCATTAAACTACTCTGAATAATAATATCAATTATCATAATATTATAATCGATCAGATTAATAATTATTAAACCTAAAAAATTTCATGCTATTGATTAAATAAATAATAATTAACTTTATTTCAAAAGGGAATGCCTATTCAATCAAAATGATGTGCCACCATGGGCGGGTCAAGAGAACAAATTCAAAAAATACCAGCAATAAAAGCAAATGACTTTAAATAGAACAACATATTCAAAGATGACAAATCTGTGCTAAGTTTAGTTATAGAAATGTTAAGCTTTGCGAAACTGAATACATGTTGACGTCATATTGGAATGCTATTAATTTTCAATTTGCATCACTTTCTTCAAAATCAATAATTTTAGTCTCCTTGCGCATTTCATTTTGCCTCGTGATAACGTCAAGGAATTAATCGGAGCTCTAATTAGCAGGATGTTCATCAACAAATACCTGTTTACTCAGAATCAATAACAACCAATCTAGATATTGAATTGGTCTTTTATTACTAAGAATATCACTGGTTTAGAATGGATGATGGAATTCCAACCCCAATGATCATAAGCATGCCATTTAAGGACACAATCTTCGAAGGAAATTTCTAATTATAGCATCAAGTAATGAAATGCTGGTCACAGTTCGCAAACTGACACATCCACTACTACTTTGGAATGTTCGTCATAAGGCAGAATTAAAAACCGAATCGCACTGACGTCAGAGGATAGTATTATGGTTAATTAATAATCAAAGATATTGAAATTGCTTATGCGGCACAATCAGCTCTTAAGTATATTGGATTTAGACAGGAGGTTAATTAATATTTCATTCCTCCAATCTTTCAACTTGCGATAAAGTTAATATGATATTGTGAGGTAAAATTGTTTTCATTGATTAAATGTTCATGTATCTTATGTATGTTTATTCTGATGTCAGATTTTATAACTATTTTACTGTTTCACTGAATTTTGTTAAGTATTCAGAGATTTCAGCTTGTGCTGCCCTCTGATTTTATTGATTGAATAAATATACCTGAAATAATATATACCGTATATATACTGTCTCTTATA